GGTCAGATGTGTGCTGCTTCTCTTAGGGACAAACATCTTTTCTCAGTCATCAGAAGAATTCTGAAGAAATTTGTTGCAGAGACCCAAGTGAATATAATTATGTAGTGGACAGTTAATTTTTTATTATTTTAAAGAGCTTTTTTGGTGAAATTCTGTGTTCAGTATTTGAAATTATAGTCTAGATCAGAGGTTTTCAACCAGGGGTATTTGGAATGGCCTCGGGGGGTAATTGGCAGCAGGTGCCACCGCTGCTGGCACTTCTGCCACTGCCATGCCACTGGCACAGTCATCGTTCAACCACTGGGGCACCCCTGCTCCCTTCCCCTGCTCATCTGGCCGCCAGGGGACTCCTACTTTCTTGACCGGCCACTGGGGGTACACTGACCCAAAAAAATTGAAAACTCCTGGTCTAGATAGGAGGCAACAGCTGTCACTTGTAAATAAACAACTAATTATAATAAAAGGGTCATAATAAAGGTACAGACAATATGATTTTGTTGAAATTTTAACTAGATTAAACTGGATGAGAAATTTGCATCTCAACATAATGTTGTTGCCAATATTTGTTAAATTGTTAACAGTTTCCATTTTAATAGAGCTTTTGATGCAGCATTCTTTTTGCTTTACCAGAACCTAAAACATATGACTGCACAAAGGGCTTAGCCACAGGTGAAGGTTAATTCAAATTGAAGTGTCTGATTCTATAACAGAATAACTGCCCAAGAGTTCTAGTTTTTTGTATGTCTAGCTGTCCAAGTGCATTCACTTCTCTTCTTTGCCACTCCCGAATGTCATCACTGCCTAGTTCAGGCACTGGTTGCATGCTAATGAACAGGTCTTATTTCTGACTAGACTCACTCATGAGGTGGGGTGGAAATACCCTTAGATTCATGAGCAACTACCTCTAGATATTTTATTAAGTTGGCACTCCCTTTTCAACATGGACATTTCTTAGAGGTTTCCTTGTATTTGTGTAATGCAGATATACACGAGAAGAAAAAATGTCTTTTAGTAAAATATCAAATACTAGAATTAAAATTTCACATATATACCTGGTTCATGATATACATGCATTTGAAATCATCCATAATTGTGAAAACTGAAACAGAGATACTCACTTTTCCCCTGAAATTAGAAGGAAAGTAAACTATTTACTTTAAGTATACTCTTTAAACTATTTTAAAACACAGGTGCTCTTGTAGCTATCGCCCCCGCTCTCCCCAAGACAAAACACAAAGTGTTTGTCG